AGTATTTACAATACTTTATAATATAATAACAGTATATATAATATTCATCTTCATGCAACTTCTGGACATTTATTGATTCCTTTCTTTCTAATTTGGACATCTTTCTTAGCTTCATTAACTTTTATTTTTATTATATTTAAATATTAGCCGTTCTCATTTAGTATTTCTCCCAGTATTAAATTTTCTCTTTCTTTGTTTCTCACTATATATAATGTTGTATATTAAAAACATGATTATCAAAGAGCATTTCTGCTGGGACACAGCATTAGGTTAAAAGGTTTCTACTTTCATAACATTTTAAAGTTATTAATGTCTTCATACATGACTTGTTAACAATGGGAAGTTTCTGTGTTTTTATCATTAATCTTCTAACTAGGAAATTAATATAAAATGACTAACTTTAATCTACATAAAATGGTTTTAGCTTTGACTCTGTATTAAGCAATATATCAGTAATATACTCAGACATGGTATACTCATGTCACCTTACTTGACATAAAATAAACATGTTGAATATTCATTTATATTTGACTGTATTTTTGAAATTTTTTCACTATTTCTGTGAATATAATTTTCATCTCATAATTTTATCTGAGATTAATTTATGTTACTATTGATATCAATGATTTTTTTCACTTTATTGCTTGTAGTATTAGGTAGTTAGATGGGTAAAATATATTTTGTTTATCTACTTACTCATAGATATAGAATAAGTACCATGATTGAGAGAAAAGGGCAAAGATCCCTATGAGGGAGTTTCTGCAAAATAAGCCTGGTCCAGAAAGGACTATTAAAAAACTAAATTATAAAAGATAAATAAGACTTCTTTAATACTGGAGAATGAGTAGGTCCTAGGCTATCCCAAAGTTTTCAGTTTTCTGTGTTAAGAGGGGATTGTAAATTTGGACAGTGATGTGTGCAACTTAGCAATGACTTTCTTCCAAAAGTTGTTCCTCTGCAAAATCCAAACCTCTAGTCGATTCAATCAGCAATCAGAACTTCTTTCAACTGCAGGGCAGGGAAACAACCCCAAAAGAGGGCAAGTCACAAATAACAACTGCCATTCCCTGGCAGGTGGTTCTTCTCTTACCTCCCTGCCTTCACTTGCAGTATGCTCAACAAACTTCCCTAATACTCTTATATAACTTGGGTGAATTCTTTCATAACCGTTATTCATCACAGATGCTGGAATTTGAAGTTTTCAGTTGTTTACTTTTAACAAATCCAGACTAGGAGACAAAGGCAATGTATTCTGTAATTTAAAAGAAGAAAGAAGAGGGGGTAAAATCAATGGCTCACAAAGTATGAGTTCTCAAAAAAAAATCTCTTGTTATCCAATACTCAAATAATTTAACACTGAAATGAGATTCTTTTTTTTTTTTAAGAAAACAGCTTTGAATGTATTTCTTTCATTGTATTAGGCGGTTTCACAGTCAATGGAAATTTTTTAACTCTTTTCTTTTACTTCGAAACAATACTCTAAGGGATATAATTTAATATAAACTTTGACTTTTCATTTAAAGTTTGCAGTAGATACACAAAAACTACTGTCTGGTGATTTTGATCTTCTTTTGATGAGAGAATATTTGAGCACACGAATTTAGGAGTTTTTCTAGACTGTTCAAGGTCCACAGTTTAAGGCTATTTACTGTCTTTATTTCTAAAGGAAATTTGTGTCCAAGGAAAGATATGCTCTGTGGCTATAGCTAGCAATGGAGGGTGATGGGCTTATCTTTCATGACCATTATAAAGTATCTTGTGCTATAGAGCATCTGTGGTTATGACGTGTTGACTCTGCAGAATTCAGCAAAGCACTGAGGGAAAAAAAGCTTTTTTGCCTCAGTGTGGAACCACTGGTTTCTGCTAAACTGCAGAATTCTTCAATTGTCTACCCTATTTGAAACCTGCATTTTCAAGTGGTAGTAATAACTGTGGGACCCCTGATAGGTCAACCATGCCTTAGTTATTGGCCCCACACCCATGAGTATATTGGCAATATGAATTGAATTAGACGAGTTGTTACAAAAAGAAAAAGAAACAAAATTAAAATGGGACTGTGGTATATACAGACCCAGGTACAGTTAGGGAGATGGGACAGAGTGAATATGATCAAAATAAATTATATGTGTATATGAAATTCTCAAATAATTAGTAAAATCTGTATAACAATAATGGAATAGACATAGATTTTGTTACTTAGTTATTTTTATAGATTATAGGGCCCATGCTGTTCTAGACTCCAATTGGAATACATAAAAAATTACCCGAAAACAATTATCATCATACACAATATCTACATTAAGCCAGTGTGCTTTATAATCTAAGTTAAATGTTTATACCTCTATGTCTTCAAGATATTACAAAGGTCCACTGAAAGTAAAGGGGATCAAGAGTAAAGCTTATCGTGTATAATCGGGCTAATCTCTTTCTCCAATTTAGAAATAAATAGTAGAAGGGATCCAAGTGAGTAAGTTTATCTTTCTAAAAGTCTCAGCTTACTTGTTGAGAGATCAAGGAGGATTTCCCTCCTCCTAATTCTATATCTTCCCTGATCTTATCACAAAAGCAGGTTACCAAGGTTGCTTTCATTTTTATGAGAAAAGCTCCTAGCATTCCCTTACATTTATGGGGTATTGTAAACTCAAGCAATGATCCATAAACTGAAAGAGTCTGTATTTTCAGTGGGATTTTAAATAAATAAACCATTTGAATGTCTCTTAGCTTTCTCTTAGATCCTCTGTTTCTCTCAATCTGTACAAGTAAGACCATGTATATATCCTTCTATTCTTACCTCAGACACCCAATACCCATCACCCAATCTATACAACAGCAAGACAGTATCACTGTAAATATTAGTGTTCCTTCTTTAATGATCAAAAACAGCTTAAGCAATTGTACCAAGCTTGTTCATTTAGGAAGCCTATTTTTCTTTTAGTATCAACTAAATATCAGTATTATTTCAACTCTGATGTACTACTTTAAGGAAATCACAAGGAATTAAATTTCCTAAGACAAAGTCAAGAAATGGAGGCCATCTGGAAATGTAGGCAGACCTTTCCCACCTGTAGATTCCTCAAGACATCATGGTTATGGCATCTCCAACTATTCTTGTTTATTTTAGGAGTTTTCTGTAAACCTCAGCATAGCCTAAGAGGGTGTTAAAACACTGAGCTAAACCCCTAACTCTTTGGGACTTACTCATCCTATAGCTGGTGTTTGAACCAATCCCTTGTATAGTCTCTCCTGGGACTATGTCCCAACATACTGGGATTTAAATCCCTCTTTGGGGTATCTCTAAGTTATTTTTACTGTCCTCTAAGAGGCTCTGCCATGATCAGGATTAATGGAGTACAAGCTTTCCTAAATGTCTCCAGTCTTCTATTAGTTTTAATTCCAAGATAAAAGTACACTGGCAGCTTTTTATTCTGATGATCAACATGATTCATGAAGTGATTTACTAGCTGGGCTACTAAATCTGTTCCCTCAGAAATGTCTCTGTCTACAGTAAGTAAGCATGAAGGGAAATAGGGTAGAAAGGATGTGATGAGCAAAATATAGATAAAAGTAAGGATACAAAATGACAATAAGAAAGTATGGAGCAATGTTAAGGAGTGAGAAAAGGAGAACTAGAGCTGGCATGTGGAGCTAGGCTCCTGACATACAGGGGAGCTCTAGGCAATGGTAGTAGACAGCAGAGTTGATGGCAAGGATGCTATGCCATGGTGTAAAAGCTACTGTCATTGCTGTAGCCCACAACCAAGTGACTCCACACATGTCTGGATGGTTTTCTGGTGGTCAGACATTAGTGGAAAGAAGAAGCATGCCTTCAGTCTACTTTTAAGTTATTTTTCTATAGTTGCGAGCTGGGTTAGACATAAAAGATGACCAATGTTATAGATTGCCTTTCCTAACTCATACCTACAATTTGGAATTATTCTTTAGGGGAGTATGTCAAATGTTTAAGAAATTAAGAATATAAATTGTAGTTCCATACTAGCAGCCTTGCCAACTGACAATGGTGGATATTGGGAGTTAGTGTACACCTGCTGGGATTTTCAGATTTTTATTCTTGGAACAAGGCATTGTACAGGAACAAAAGAACAGTATCAAGGAAAGCAAGAAAATGTCTCCTGAAGGAACCCTTCTCACAGGGAGGAAGTGAGCTGAGTAGGAGAAAGTAAAGAAGTTGGAATAGTGGCAGAGGTACATAGAGGATTAGGGATTTTGTGTTTTCTTTGCAAAGTATCTGCTTTCTGGGTCATTTGCATAACATGGACTTTTGCTGTATTCACTGTTCCTGTATATGGTCTCAAAGTGGGTGGTATTCTAGTCTGTTTCTTTGACAACAGATTTTTCTCATATGCTAATTTAGAAGGCTTTGTGAGAGATCTGTATCTAATGCTTGACACTCCTTTCCAGACTCAGTAAAGAAGACACCAGCAAAGGAGAAGAGACATGACTTGGAAACCTACATCTAATGCAAGTAAAGAATGGATTGGAAAGGCTGTTTGATCCCAGTTGACTGTCTTGGATAAATGATCATGGTGTTATTTGTAGATAATAGGAGAGGAATAAGAAACATTGGAGGACAAGTGCAGTGGCATGGCTATGTGTAGGCCTTGTTTGTTTTATGTTATCTTTTTCCCTATTATGTTTTTTGTTTTGTTTTGTTTTGCTTTTTTACCCAAGACAGTGATTAAGGAGACTACAATCTGGGTTTAACTCTAACTGTTGAGGTGTATAACCACATTAGGTGTGAAAGAATAGTGTCAGAAAAAGTTATTAATTTTTCAATTTTAGTCCTTGAAAGATCTTTTTAAATTTAACTTCTTGTCTTATAAACTATTCTATAACCAACTTTGTCATGCACTGATTCTGTTTTTCTCAGACAATATGATAAATTTTCTATTATATTCTTTAGAACACTTAATATTAAAAATGTATATCATTATTTTTCAACTTCTGGCTGCTTCAGTAGGCTGTAACTTTCTTTTACATACCAGGAATGAGTCTTGTCATTGAGAAATATGTGTTGCCTTGTTTTGCTGCAGATGAGAATGAATACCACTCAGATAACCATGACTGAAAAACCAAAGAAACAAATCCATTTAAGTGTGGCCTGGTGACCTAGTGATTTGTTGGGCTTACTTACAAAACCAGGGATGATGAAATGAGGAGGTACACCACAGCACACAAAGCAAGGGTGATGTCATCATCTCATAATTGTTACATTCATGGAATGTTGACTTCAGTTAAATGTCAGCTTCCTATGTGCTCTAGAGCACACTGAAGACCATGTATATCAGGGAAGCAGGAGGGCAATGTCTGAATTTAGAATGCAGATCCCGTGACTTTCTCGTCTTCTAATATGACTAATTATTGCCTTATTACCATGGCAATGGATGTAGTTATCCCTGGATTTGAACCTTATTAGGTCATAACCACAGGAAGCAGTGTTTTAACCATACAGAAATTTCTGCTGCATGGTCTGTGATGATGTTAGGCCCAGAGGCAATCACCACTATAATAGTGCCCTGTCCACTGCCCAGGTTCTCGTTATCTCTGTCTATCTCTTCATATCTTTGTCTATCTGACTCTCTACTGTCATTCTTCCTCTGTCTCTATCTGTATATTTTTATCTAAAATGGACATTGGCTGTATCTATAATTAGATATTGTAACTTTGTTGAGAAGCTTATTACAAATGAGCAGTGTTAAAGGTCATAGAGGAGACGCCACTATTGCTTTTTTCCCTGGTTACACACTATTTTTAAGGAATGTAAAGGCTCACCATTGTTTACACATATAATTTGAAATCACATGTGAGAGGAGGGAATAATTTTTACAGTCATCCTGTCTGAAGATGGAATGAACACAAATAAATGAGAGTTGCAGGTAGCTGGATTTTATTGAAGTATGTTGGGGAAAAGCTACTTCTTTTTGGTAATGCATGATCTACTTTACAGGTTTTTAAAATTGTCATTACTTAATATTTTAAAAATCTACTTTTGCATTGTCAAAAGATTGAGATTTAAGTCATATTGATGTTTCTGATACCCAAAAGACCAGAAGTTAATGTAGAGGCTTTATAGGAGTGAAGAAACTCATACTCTTCTCTCAACCCTTAAAGGTTCATCCAAATGGCTTTAAGAACCACTGTACAGAACAACAACCCTCAGGACAGCCATGCACCCTTGGAAACTTTATAAAGCTTGGCTGATTATACAGCCTGACACGTAGATCCTCTTTTCTCATTGTCTGTTTTTAATACATAAGAGTTTCTTCTACAATGATCTCTTCTGTTAGAACACCCTGGTCTTTTAAGCCCTACACAGAGAGAGTTGGGATCAGGGTAAGAAAAAAAAAATCTAGTCATCCTGACAGCTGGGTGACTAAAAGCAATCTGACTGCAGACACATATTGCAGATAACACATTAAACTTATTTCCCTATCCCACAAGAGGAACATCTTCCATGTAGCCTAAATCACATGTGTCTTGCTCCTCTACTTCTGTCACATAAAATAAGTGACATACTTAACTGAGCCTGAATCTTCCCAGTGAAGGGCCCTTCATCCTCTCAGAAACCGTAAAGAGACTTCGAAGTTTGTCTGGAAGGACTGAAGTCTCTCACTTTAAACACCTGTTGTATTGTGCTGCTTGTCTTCCTGCAGTGAAATTCTGACCATGACTTTGTACCTTTTCCTCCAACCCTCACTTCCCTCTTCCTCAAGTATAACACCTTGGGACATATCTACCTCTTAAGGGTACCAAACTTTTCCTTGTAAGAAACTCTCTTCATCTCCTACTAGTGATCTGTTTGTGTCTAAATTCACCATTGGAGAACATTTAGACTGGAAGCTTAGGGGAAACCAGATTAGAACCTTTGGTGGCATGTTATAATTGGTTCCAAGGTAATTAAGAGGTAAGTAACAGGAAATGATAACAGATTTTCTGAAGTATCCTTGGGTATCTTCTATAAATGAGAAATACTAAAGGAAAGGAGTTTGAAGAATTTGGGAATTATTTTGAAAAGCTGCTGGGGATTTGAGCATGAGGTTCTAGAATTTCTTCTCCTAAATAACTTTGGAGACCCTAATGACCCAAAGTTCCAGATCATTCGCAAAATGACCTTGATTTTCTATTATTAATTTTTTATTTAAATATATTAAGCATAATAAATAAATACTTTGAAAATGCAATTATGCATTATTATTTTATAATACCTATTACTATTTTACAGCATTTCCAATGTTGTTTACATTACAGTGATAATTTTCTTTAATCACTGAGGCTTTTCAGTGATTTTCTAAGTTTAGATAATAGAAATGTAATTATTATAAAAGGAGACTAACTGGAAAAAAGAATAGGCAATGTTTTCCATGTGTATGACTATTAATAGAGCATTGATAGACAATACCTAAATATTTTATTGAAGTTTTATAATTTGGGAGATTTTTAGATGGTATAGTCATTGAAAATTGTTCTTCTGAAGAGAAGTGTAAAGTAATATGAGTATATCTTAGCAATATTTTAAAAAATCAAAACGCTTAAATAAAAATCAAAAGTAAGAATATCAAATGAAAAATTACAAAAGAGAAAAGGAATCAAGACTACCGATCTGGGGCTGCTGGAAGTTCCCAAAGCCTAGAGACAAACATGATGGCATAATTTATCTTAAAGTCAGAGAGGTAAGCAACTGCTGACCTTCGTACACATTCTAGTGTATTACATTAGGTCTTAAAACTAATTGGGATTTCACAAAATTGTTCACAAAGATTGAGAGTTGTAAATTTTAACAAAATAAGCATATCATTATCAAGAAAATCAATATACCAAAAACACTGCACTGAACAAATGCATAGACACTGTATTAGAAGTTTGGTGATCTTAAAATAGGAATTTTCTTATTATTTTCTACAGTGAATATATCTTTGCATGATTTATTATATCTCTGTGTGAATGCTTTACAGAATAAGCTGAACACATAATTGCATTTTAAGCATTACATGTAAACATTTCCAGATACTTAATATGCTAATACTATCCCAGTATGAAAGGCAAAATGAAAGAAATGAACATCCATATACAGGCCCACTGAATTAACCCTATTAAAGGAAACAAGTTATATGCATTCACACAGGAACATATTTTAATTGAATTGTTTGGAAAATAATGTGAGGAAAGATTATTTATTGAAAATAGGAGGTCATAAAAATATAATTGAAATAATGTTTGTAAACTCATAATTTGGGGAACACATTTGAATAGTTTGTGTAGATATTTTGAAAACTTAATGGTGGAAGATCTTGATATGGATATATATGGATAAAAATCTGGTCTAACCTAAAAAAAAAATGATAGCAACTCCCGACAGTAAGAAAACATGAGGGATGTGTAGGAATAGATAGTGATCACAGTTGTAGAAGATATGATGGAATGGATACTTATGTCAACATCATGAGCACATGATGCTCATTTAGGGCACATGCTCCTAAAAAAAACTCAATGGAACTATATTTTGAATTCTTTTACTCAGAGAAAACCCTTTGATTTGGAATATTTTCAATGGAAATTGCTAAGAGGGGTTAGAATCACCACACTTCACTCCATGCTTATCTATTAACTATGATGATGAACATTGATCTCCACTTGACAGGATCTAAAAATCACCCAGGAGACAAGCCTATGGGCATATCTGTGTAGATGTATATATCTTGGCTTAGACTTTGGTCATGCCTGTGAATGGTTATCAAAAATTAGTTTAGTGAAATGAGAAAACCCACTTTTACTGCAGGAGGTGACACCCTCCAAAGGAATGGGATCCTGAATTGAAAGAAAAAGGGAACATGATCTGAGAAGCTCCATCTTCACTCTCTTGTCTCTGACTGCCAATACAGCACAATGCAATGTGACCAAATACTTCAACTTCTTGCTGCAACGGTATCCCCACCATGACGTACTATACCTTGGAACTATGGGCCAAGAAAAACCCTTCATTCCTTAACTTGTTTCTTGTCACATACACAAACTTATCTGAGTTAATTACCCTCCATTTTCCATTTACTAACTTGCCAAGGCATGTGATACTCATTGTCTTTAATTATCTAGTAAGAATTCCCATTATTTGAAAGAATAAAACTGCATCATTATAAGTCTTTCTTTCCCCTTTCCTCTTACTTTGCAGAGGACATCAGAGAAGCCCAAATAGATCACTTAACTTGTTAGCTGTGGTAGAGTACTTTTTAACTTTTTGAGACCAAACCCTCTCTAATACACTGTGTCTCTGCAGGTGCAGGCACACAAATGACAAAGTAGCACCATAGACATGGTAAGGGTGTTATCACTGTTGACACAAGAACAAATGAAGTGCAAGGATCCTGTGGAGACAGAAAAATGGATCTAGTTGCCAATCAGCTGCATCCTTAAGCCAGTCAAATTCATGGGTGGAAGTTATTATATGTCTCCTTTAAACTCTTACATTTGTGCCTGTCCTGTGAACTGAAATTACAAGAAAAGACCCACCGTGTGAAGATTCTATAAGGCTCATAAATTAATTGGAACATATGTGATTGTGGAGAGTTTGAACGTTGCAGTTCTATAGCAGATTATTTTACTATGTTTAGCTCACTTGATAGCCACTCATTGCTCACTATTTTATTCCATCTAACATGTGTCCTTGTGATTGTTTAGTAAGTGCCTTTGAAAGATACTAACAGATTTCTGGCTTCTATGAATCTAAAGGCAAAAAATGTCATCAGATAGTGTAGACAGAGCTGCTCCTTCATTTCCCAGCAACCCAAATCTGAAATAATCATACAGACCTATATTAATTAAAACACTGCCTGGCCAATGACTCTAGTGTATTTCTAACTAGCACTTACACCTTAAATTAACCCATTTATATTAATATGTGTATTGCCACATTGTTGTGGCCAGGTTCTGTCCAGCGTCTGGAGTTTGTCTCCTGTGGTGGCTCCATGGTTTCCCACTGACTCTGCCTTCTTTCTCTCGGCATTCAGTTTAGTTCTCCTGCATAACTCTATTCTGCCCCATCATAGACCCAAGAAACTTCTTTATTTATTGACCAATAAAATTAAAACATATACAGAAGTCTCCCCACATCATCTCCACTTTTCTATCTTA